TTTGCTTAATGGAATTATGAAATTGAGTGAGGAATGATGAAATGGCTCCCATATAGTAATACACGAATGTGTTGATGTTTGATTATAACGCTACTTTGGAAAATCAATATATTTATTTATCGTGGCATTTATATCTGTTTAGAATAGCCTTTAGGCATCGGGAGGATAAGTCTGACTGTTGTAAGACACTGCATAAATGATTAGGGAATTAAAACTAATCAATTGTGATTGCTTCCATTGTATATGATGAGTATCTGAATATATGGGTGCCGAGTCCCGCGGATGAAATTTCCGTAAAATGGCAATTCAAACATAATTATACATGGGTGCCGATCCCGCGGACGAAATTTCTATGAAATGGTAGTTTGAAGTATTGTTGGCATGAGATGTAGTCTCACTTAAGTTGTTCGATCAGGTTCTAAGCCATGTTTATAAGTTGAGTTTTGTTAAGTGAAGGATTATGGAACTGGATTGTACTGTAGATTGGTTTATATGAGTTAAACGTTTGTCAGGTGCTAATGTTTTAGTTGTTGTTCATATTATGTTTAGCATATCTCTACTGGGCGTTGGCTCACCCTATATGGGACATCTTTTTCTGGTACAGGTGTTATGCCACCTCCAAGGACGTAACTTGGGAGGCTTGAAGCTGTCAGACTCTTTGGGTTGTTTTTGTTGTATTACATATATATCAAGCCAAGGGCTTATTTGTGCAGAGTTAGTACTCTCTTTTTGTAACCAAGTGTTGACTTGGAAAGTTGTAAGCCTATAGGGCATTTACCTTTATTGTCAACATGTAATACCATTGGTAAGAATACTCTGATGATTATAATATAAAATCTCTTCTATTTATCGTGGATGTATGTTTTAATGGGTTTATTTTTGAGGGCGTTACACATTCCATACCATATATACATCTTTAGTTACATCATTTTCTTCTTTAGTTATGATTAATTTTCTTTTTTAGTTACGAAATTATTTTGAGATATTTGGCTATGGCTTATGTAATGTTTGATTATGATTTTTTGTTTTTTAGGTATAACTCAAAAGGTATAAAGTTGTAGCATTTTCTTTTTTAATTATAAGGTGTATATAGTATACATCTTTTGAAGGGTATATATCATAATCATTCTGATATTATACATTATCAAAACTTATATACAGTACACATCTAAAAAAATAATTATATAATGTAGAAGGCCTAGTTACAATGCAGAGGGAAAATACATATCATTTAGTTGAAAATGAGTCAAGAAAGTGCCTCTACATATCAAAATTTTGATTAAAATGTGATAAATTAAGGCTAAAAGAGTCAAAAAATGCATAAAATTAAGTTTTAGATGGATTGCTAATGATTTTTGAAATTTCACAGCCGCGACGCCCGATACCCGCTACGTACCGGTCGATACTACTGATACCGATACTCCGCGATCGATACCGTTACGTTACCCGATACCGCGATTTAGAACTATGGTAATGGTCCTTTAAACATTTACAATAATATTATGATAATCATATTTTATTCTCATGTTTTGTTTATCATATCTTGAGATTACATTGGTGGCAAACATCAATACAGTGTTGACACATAAAGTAATAAACAAATTATAATAAGAAAAGATTATCATCCTAACATTATTGAAAAATTAAATTAAGCTCATGTTAAAAAGATATTAGTAATCACATGTTTAAAATAGGAGAAATTACATGATAGAGAAATCTTTTAAAAAATAAAATAAAAATAAAAATTCAAACACAAATTGATATTTAATTTTCCCTTAAGAAAATAAATAAAAAATATAATTTACCTGATTGATTTGCAATCATATTAAACATAAAAGCTTTTATTAAAAGCAATTAAACTAAAGCTTTTATATACTTAAGATATTGTGTAATATTTAAACTAAAACTATAAAAATTAGTTTAGAAAGTTGAAGGAAAGTAGATTAATTATATTAAGATCTTCTCAATTATTAGCGTACCACCTTACCTTTTAGGGGTACATTATAGTTACCTCCCTTGAGATTTTGCATAATTGCAGGGACCTTCTCTATGATTTTTGAGATTACATTGGCCTCCTTTTTTTTTTTTTTTTTTTTTTGGCATTGTCAAGATTCTTCTCTATAATTTGGCCCAAATGATGTTAATTTGATTGTGCAAATGACTATAATATCTTTGAAACACTATTCATAGCCTTACGAGAATTAATTATAATTTATCACAAAATTTTCAAAATGTAAATGTAATTTCTTGACTTTGTAATTATTATTATTATTATTATTATTATTATTATTATTATTATTTTGCGGGTATAAAGAGCATAAGGAAAGAGCACCCAAAAAAATTTGACGCTGTTATTAGTTGTAGTAACATCAAGACAAAATTAAAGAGAGAATAAACAGCAAGAAGAGTGAAAGAAATAAAAGAAAATGAAAAGAGATAGACGTACTAAAAACTTATGAGATGGATATGGTGAACATTATTTTTTTTAGAGATATAAAGTATGTCATAGTCAAAGAATAATAGGAAAAAAAAATAAGGAAAGGAGAAAAATGACAAAAATGATTAAGAAAATATGAGAAAAACAAAGGAAAAAGTTTGTGAGAGGAATGAGATGATATAAGGGAAGGTAGTGTAATTTACACCCTTTAACCTTTTCATTGCTAGAAAGAGATGAACAAGGGTAATTTTGGCCTTTTAATAGTTAAAGTTGTTGACATCACCTTGTTATGTTAGATATTCAAACAAAGAGATAATATGAGGGGGAATCTTAATAATAATTTTAAATGTAGAAGATGTCAATATAATTATTAAAATTATAAGGGAGATCTCTATAATTACGAAAAATCTCAGGGGAGGTAAGTGTAATTTGCCCTACCTTTTATTATACATATATATATTTTGGTCAATCCAACTATAAAAATTGTACTAAAAATGTTTAAATTGAGACTAATCCCTTGCACTTGTTTATTAGTCCAATTAGCCTATATTAAGTAATCTTTAATAATGATTTAAACAAATAAAACTCGACCCGATGTATTGACAACAGTTGGGATTCCTTTTTTTTTTTTTTTTGGCAATCTAGCCCCTCCACGAGGGGAATCTTGGCTCCAGCCCTACCTAGTTAATTTTTTTTTTTCAACAAAAGTAATTTTATTGATGAAAATAAAAGTATACAAATGACTAATACAAATATCAATAAAAATGAACAATTGCATAAAGTGGCAAAATAAAACTTAATAATTTCAATTAAGTTGACACTATCGAACAAACCCAATTATTTACTAATACAATATTTAAATCGGTGAGAAACCAACCGAATCGAAACAACAAAACAAAATAAAAAACAACAGCTAGTTAGTGTTATAACATCCAATAAATGTCAATAACTTTCTCTCACTAGCCAGTGCCATGACGTTTTTAGATCCAAAGGTTGGTCAAATGCAGAGATCACATGGATCAGAAATCATGCAAGTAGTTAAGAGAAAAAGGGTAAATTAAGTAAATGGTCCCAATAGTTTAGACGATGTGTCAATTGAGTCTTTGTTGTTTTAATTTCTTTGATTTTGCCTTCTAATTTAACGGATTGTGTCATTTTAATCTAATAAATAATGGTTGTTAAGTTTGGTGGACAAAAAGTCAACACAATGTATCAATTTGGTCTATGTAGTTTACACAATGTGTCAATTTGATCCATGTTGTTTTAAGTTGCTCGATTTTGACAGGGACCAAATTAACACAATGTATAAACTATAGGGACCAAATTGACACATAGTTTGATTTTCCGTCCACCAAACTTAGCAACCATTATTTATTAGACTAAAGTGACACAATCCTTTAAATTAAGAGGTAAAATCGAACAAATTAAATAATAGAGACCAAATTGACATATTGTATAAATTATAAGGACTATTTATATAATTTACCCTAAGAAAAATAACTTAATAAAATTGTCACCTCTAAATCTTTTAGTGATCCCTGATAAAAATGGGAGCTAATTTGAAAGAGTATCCTTTTCGTTTTTTCAGTTTTTAAAATTTTAAAAAATAAATAAAGAATGAAAACTTTAGAAATATCATATAGTCAACAGTATGCTTGGCATATAAAAGAGATTTTTTTTTTAAGGACATGATATTAAAATTTTATAGCATAAAAGATACTCAATATTTTCATAATGTCTAAAGTCTTTTAATATCAATCCAGAAAAAATTCGATCCAGAGAAAATTTGATCCTGAGAATTTCTTTGGACAAATCATAGAAAAAATTTCAAATTTCTCTGGACACATCACAGAGAAAATTTCAAATTTCTCTACACCAACACCGCATTTCTCTGGACACATCACTAAGAAAATTTTACACATCTCGAATATTAAATTTCTTTGGAAGAGAATCTGATAAAGAACACAGATTATGATATATTACCAACACAGAAGAAGAGCTGAAGAAGAACCCAATCCATCAAGTAAATTGAGAGAGAGAGAGAGAGAGAGAGAGAGAGAGATCTTTCAAAATAGCTTTCAAAAAGTACCCATAGATATCTATAAAAGCTTTGATCAACAATGGCCTTTTTTAATTTTTCCTTCCAACCCAGAGAAATTTACAAAAATCAAGAGAAAAATTCTTCCAACCCAGAGAAATTCGCAAAAGCCTAGAGAAAATTCCCTCAAACCCAGAGAAATTCACAAAAACCCAGAGAAAATTCCTTTCGACCCAGAGAAATAATATTGTGAATCTCTTCTATTACTAAAAATGGAAGAAGGACCTTAGACTAATTTTTTCATAAAAAAAAAGTATGTATATTAGAATTTCTTTATATAAATTTCGCAGGGCAAAAGGAGTGTTCAATTCTAATTGCAAGTAACAACCAAACTCTCCTCAACTAGTATATATAAATACATACATAGAGACACACACACATACACACATAGAGAGAGAGAGAGATAGCAACACAACACAAAAGACAAAGGAGCAAAAATGAATCGGGTCCAATCTCACCTGAAATCGAATGACGGACCTGACTATGGAGCTGTAGCAGGAGTCGGGTTGGAAGGAATTGAGGAAGGAGGCTCACAATATGAAGGGCGATCTCGGCGTCAAGCTCTCTTCTTACGCCAAGTTCGGCTCTAGGTTCTCCCATAGAGGTTCCCTTCTCTCTCTCTCTCTTTCTCTCTCTCTCTCTCTCTCTCTCTATATATATATATATATATTCATATTTGCTCTCACTTCTCGTTGCAAACCCATCAAATTTCAATTTTCTCTCTAAGATTTATCAAGATCTACCAAGAATTTGAGAGGACTTTTTACATCGAATTGAAGAAGGCTACGTTTTCATTGATCGAATCGAGTTTTTCTCAACATCCATTTTTAGGGTTTTTCATCCTCTTCCTCTCCAAAGCTTGAGGTAGGGATTCTCTTAGAGTTATATATACATTTTTGCAAGTTTATGTTGATTTTGGAGCTTTCGCTTGTAGTATTGAACCTTGATTTTGGCTCATGAGTTCTTGATAATCTTAAAAGTGGGTTTTCCTCAATGTTTTCTAAAAATTTTTGAGGGTATGAACTATATTGTTAATGGGGGAGTTGCCTTGGGAAAATCCTTTCAAAAGTGAGAAAAAAAAAAAACCTAGTTTTGTGAAAACCCTAGAAATTGGGGTTTTATTTTGGAAAAATGATAAGATGTTATGAAATCTTTGGTTGTCTAGTATCATGATGTATATGTGATTGGGATATTCCTATGATTATGTGTAAGAAGGAAGTTCCATGGAAAGAAAATGAGAAATGGTTAAATTGAAACTTGTTGTATAGCACATTATTGGTTGGTCCTGAAATGACCAAGTGGAAGATAGATATTTAGTTGTGGAGAATACATGAATGTTGAGATTGTTAAGTCACCTTTTAAAGTTATATTATGATGGTTAATTTATGAAAAATACTTGAAGGTTAATATTGTATTACTTTATCTCTTATAATGTATTATGATATTGCATTGATAAGAGATGTGGAATTTGATCACAATAGAGGATTTTGTGGCTGAATCGAGAATTTTCAAGGCATTGATATAGAAATATATAGCATTGGCATTGTTGAAATGTTTAAATGGAACCATATTATTGCATTGGGCATTTGCATATTCATTCCTTTTGTCATTGACATAATTGATTTTGAACATTGCTTGGAAAAAGATACTGTTTTGAGAAAGGAAATTGTTTTGTGAAACAAGATCATATTGATTTGTTTTGGGGTAAATATGTTGGAAAGTCCGGATAGAGGGTGTAGTTGGTATTGGTTAAGTTGGTCTGAGTAAAAGACCGAAAACACGCGCAGAGGAAGTACCATGTGCCTTCCGATTAGCTACCGGTAAAATGGGGATTGGTAGTGCTTATTATACCTACTTGCAGACACCAACTTAGGGATTACCTGAGTCGTATTTACTGCTCCATTGAATTAAATTGAAATTATTAAATTGTCAAATTTTTAAGATTGCATTGTGCACAAAGTTTTCAAAAGAGAAAGAGATATGTTTTTTAACATGGTTTGACATATGCATTCATCCCATGAGATTGTATAAAATGTATATACTTTGTTAAGGTTTTCCTATTGGGCTTTGTGCCACCCCTATGGGATTTTGTGTAGGAAAGGATGTGGTGATCCCGCCAAGTTAGAGACGTGGTGATATGTTTTGAGAGCACAAAGCTCTTTTCTTTTGTTGTAATTACTTTTAACAAACCAAGGGCATATTGTGTATAGGTTTGCAACCACTTTTGTGTAACTGAGCTTAAGTCTTGAAATTTGTAACCCTTGAGGGCATTCATTTGTACTTGACTTGTTATACCACATGCTATAGATTCATATACTAGAGATGTTGAATGTATATTTGCATATGGAATACCTTTTGTAAATCTTTTAATGATTAATTAATACAAATGTTGGAGATTTGTCGATGATGTTAATATTGAAAACTTACTTATGCTTACATTTACCAATGAGAGTTGATGAATCTGTATTGTGTAAATTTTTTGGGCGTGACATATATTAACATCACATACATATGTTATTATTTATAAATACATCTTTCGAAGCCTAAACTCTAGCCCATTTGGGCCAATCTTACAAATTCAGGTTCAGGTAGTACGGCCCTACATTTGTTTCGTGCCCTTTTAGCCTTTTCATCAGGCCTCTGGCTCAACCTTGCCAAGTTTGCCATAAATACTTCAGACTCTGTTTGGAAAAACTGGGCCTGAAATACCTATTCCATTTGTTGCCAAGTCTGGATAGAACCAGGTGTAAGGTTTGTATACCATACAAAAGCTACTCTAGTTAGAGAGTTTGGAAAAAGTCTTAACTTCATGATCATTGTTGCTGAATTCACCACATTAGCTTGTAAACCTAGCAATGTGCTCAACAGTTGACTGGTTTCTATTTCCATAAAAGAGGGCAACGTTTGGTATCCTAAATCCCTTTGGGTATTCATGTAACCTATCTATCTATTCTAGGTAAGGCTTTTTATAAACATGAGTCTGGACTCCCCGGGCCATAGGTCCACAAATCTCTCTAATAATGTCAGCAATTTGGTTCCTAAGAACCATATTTTGTGCTGGTTAGGCCATTATTGGAGAAGCAAACATAGGGTTTAGAGGAACTCCATCTGCTTGAGGCCTTCTTGGTGCATGTAATGGCATATTTGGGACTGGCTATCCTTGCTGTGCTGGTTGATGTTGAGGGCATGACTGCCTTCTTAGGGCAGACATTTGCACTACAAAAGATGCTGCGAAGGGTTTCACTACAAAAGATGCTGCGAAGGGAACTACAGGAAGATGAACAAGTTATATTTCTCTTCCAATCGCAGCAATTCCTTCTAACTCCCCAGGTGTGAATTCGAACATAGGATTGGTGAATACTCGTGTGCCAGACATGGGTTCAAACATAGGATTTGAAAACACTCACATGCCATTCCCTTGTGCCAGCCTAGACCCATCAACATGTATGGTTTCGCCGATAGGCATTGAGTGTAAACACTTAGTGTGTTCGTAAGGCAAACAATTTGTAGTGCTGCTATTGTTTGTGGTAGATCATTTCATCCTGGGAGATAGACGTCCGAATTCTGAAAGCACCGTGGAGAGGACGAATCTGTCTTAAGGACACAGTGTCAAACACTGGACTTGATCAGAAAATAATTCAAAGAAATTAAATCAAGTAAGTTATTTAATTTATTTTCAGTGTTGTTTTTATTTATTTAAATCAGATTTTAACTTTGTTTTTGTAACAAAATAAAATCTGTTTTTTATTTATTTACTTTTATTTCGAGTTTGATTTTTGTAATCAAATAAATTCTCTCCTTTTCTTTATTTCTGTAAATTCTATTTGTTCTTGTGTACACAATAGAATTAAATCTTTTAAATACAGTGAAGATTGTCCAACAGTAAAGTAAGCATATTTCAATCCATGATCATTTTAGCGTTTGGTGTTTGTTTTTCTTAATCGTGTTTAATTTTTTTGATTTAAGGTGAATTACAAATACATTGTTTGAGATTTGTTTGAAATATAAATTATTTCCCGTGGTATGAAAAATTACAAATATTCCATTGTCTAAATTTTTTATTTAATAGAATTTACTAAAAAAGAGAAATTCGTACCTGCTCTCCTATAACTAAAGGAGGAAGATGCCACAATCAAGATTTGGATTCCTACGTTATAGTTGTCTAGTGGAAGCAAGAATGGCATTTCAGAAAGCAAATGAACTATGGTGTGACAACAGAACATTGATAGTAAAAGTAGCAGAGTTTGTTAAAGGAAAGGAAGTTAGGCAGGGGCCATCAGAGATATCAGTTAGTAGGAGAGGTGTAGGTAGTACTAGTAGGGCTCCTACTGCAGTACTAGGAAGAAAGTCATATGCCTAAGCTGTGAGTGGAAGAAGTATAACCATAAGTGGCAGCAAAATTTTGAAGGGTTGTGTGATTCTATCAAGCTTAGGATTGCAATGTGAGTCAAAACTTCAAGCCTCTCCTTGAAGTACTCAGTGAGTGACATTATATATAATTTACAACAAATTAAACTTCGCATATAGGGTGTTAGTTGAGTTGCTGTTGGGTGTGGCTGCTGCTGGTTTGAATTTTGGATGTGGTTTATTGCTGTTTGTGGCAGCTGTTGTTTGTTCCTTTATCTTGTTATGTTGTTTGTTATGTGACTACCTCATGCCCCTCCTTCAAGTACTCAGTCAGTGTCGTTATGTATAAGCTAAAAAAGTTAAACTCCGCATATAGGTGTGGTTGTTGCTACTTTGAATATTGGGCGTGGCCTGTTTATTGCGTGGCTACTGCTGCTTTGTTGCTCTGCTTTGTTCAGCTAGTGTTGGTTCCTCACCAACATTGTGCTTTGTCTATATTTCTTTCTTTCTTCTTTTCTCTTTATTGATGTAATCTCATATGAAACATATGTGTTTTTTCACCAATAAAGATTTTGTTTTACTGAAAAAAAAAAGTATGTAATAAATTAAAAATTGACATATATTCAACTATATCATTGTAGAGAGAATTATGAATACCTTTTGAGCATCTCAAATATTTTTCATTTTTTTTCCTCTGCATCTCTCGCTTTGTGTTCTCTATGTCTACTGAATAGATGCAAGCCCTTAGATGTTGTTTTAGACACGTGTGCGGTGGATAAATGTGTGTAGAGGTGTATGGACTAAAAAAGTATGGAGATGAACGACTCCCTACATTAGATATTAATGATACAAGAATCATAATTTAAGGACTAAATATATAATTAACCCCATTATTAAATAATCGAAGGAAATGTGCATCATGTACATTAAGGAATTGTGGTTGTTATTTTAGTTATGATTAAAAATGTCTTTGGTTACGTCTCAGGTAATATTGGGTTATGACTCACTTTGATATTAGTCATGACTCATTATAATGTCGGTTATTATCTATTGTAGTTATTTTTTAGTTATAATTGAAAAAAAAAAAATTAGTTATACCTCAAGTGATATTTGATTATAAATCATAATGTTTGTTTTAGTTATACGACTGAAAGTGATTTAGTTATGGTGTTTATGTATCAATACCACAAATTATCATATATATAGTTTTTTTCTTTTTTTAATCGGCAAAAGAAAATTTTATTGATAATAATCAAAATAAAGGATTACACATCAATAAAAAATCATAGGCAACAAAATTGTGCCACAGTTGAAACATGAACATCATAGAAATTAATAAAACAATAGTGTAACGTAGAAGGACTTAGTTAGTAATTTTTGGGGGTTTGACTTCTTTTAAATTACCATATGAACTTGAGATAGTGTTTAGGTTTAGTAGGCCCATTTTAGAATCGATTTTGGTGATTTGAAGCGTTCACTTTTTAGGTTTCGCGAAGTACAATATTCTTGTAAAAAATAAAGATGATTGAATATCAGTAATTATATGTATGAATCATATTTGTTTTAAAAAAATAGACAACAAATATAATTTTAAGAATAGTCATTCATCTTTTATAATATAAATTTGATTCCAACATATAGTTTTTTTTTTTTTATTAGCAAAGAAAATGAACTTTATTGATGAAGAGGAAAAATAATACATCAAAAAGGAAAAAAAGGATGAGTGCAAAAGCATCATAGCGAGCCAAATCAATCCCAACTAGGTTGGTACCAATAAGACCGCCCAATCATATGCTAGCACACCATCAAGAGTTGGTCAGTATCTAACCATAAACAGCCAAAAACAACCTTACCAGACAAACCAAAATAACCAATACAACACCAAAATTAACCAGCTTCACTTACCCAACTACACCACATCTACGCTTCAGAAGCTGAATAGTAGCAAAACATGCTTTACCACCAATACCCAAGCCTCACATCACAACAAATTCACCAGCAGCACAACACAATATATACCATCCCATGAACAGCACTCAACAGACATAAATACCAATTTAACAAACAGAGTATCAGTTCAGACCAATAATATCAGCAGCATCTCCGTTTACAGCTCCCAGTGGCAAAGACTGAGAATCATAGAGGCAAGCCTCAGCATCCACTCCGAAAGCAAAACTGAAACATCAGCAGTAAATCAGCCAAGCAACCTCAATACCACCACCAGTATATCAGTTCAACAAACCAGAGCTTTCAGCCACCATCAGAAATCTGTAGCCAATTTTCCACCCGGGACTTACATCCACTGCTAAGCATAACAGGCCAAAGCAAATTCCTTATGATAAAGCAACACAACAGCAGACCCACATTAGCCCAACAACAGCCCAAAAGCACAACAGATCAACAAACCATAGCATAGGAACCTCTGCAGAGCAACTACACTTCTGTACTGAACAACAACAGACATAACTAGCAGCTTCACCACCAGCTCCAAAACCTCACATCAGAGCCCCTACTGCCCTTCCAGCAACAGCGACCCATAATAGACACAAGACCCAAGCCAAAAAAACACATTTCAACCTTCAAAAATATAAAAGAGTACAGATTATATTAAAAGCAGACAAAGATGAGCAGTAGCTTCTCACAACAGCCAGCCTTAACATACAATATCAGTAGAGCCTCCACTTCACCTAGATCATATGTCTCATCCATTTTATATTTGAAATAGTCTCTTGGATGGAGTAATAGCAACCCAAATCGTAATTCTTCAACCACATGGCCACTCTAACTTTAATTAGCTCAGAGTTATAGCGATCCCGGTTTTTTCTTCATTGTTTAATTGTATTCCAAACTTGGTTTCGTGGATGTGTTGTTGTCTTATTCCCGTTTTCTTTCTTTACTCTTTGTACATGAGTCTTGGGTCGTGTTGGGCAGGTTTGAAATAGGTTGGTTGTGTTTGGAAACCAAGGGTTGATGTCCAGATTTTGGGCTCCACGCTCGAGCGAGGCTTTTGACGCTTGAGTGGACCTGTTTGTATATCAGTCCGAATAACAGCTTTTGGATCACTTTTTCGGGCCAATCTCTCTCTCTAACTTTTCAAAGCTTATGCATGATTATACTAGATTCATCTCATTAAAGAAGATACATGTACATCAATTAGAAGGTGACTAATTATTGATGAATGCACCTATATATACAATGTATAGAAGACTAATGCTAATACATTGAATGTGATGGATTCATTATGAATGAATCTTAGAGATGCATTATGTATCCATTATGAATATATAAGAGACATTAATCTATCTAATGAATTCATTAATATAGAAGATGCATTATGCATCATGAATGTATGAGATACACTAATCTATTTAATGGAGTTCATTGAATAAATAACTTGAGAGCTTCTCACTCTAGACTACAACTTCTCTATAAAATCATCTAGATCAAGTGATCTTCTACCTTGGTCCCTTTATATAAAGTGTGGGGTTTGGCTTGCTCTTCATTTTGATCCGAAAATTATTCGATTTGGAGCACCTTCGAAATCCTTCATCTTCTCCATTTGGTCTCTCCATTTGAGGTAGGAATTTTTTTGTTCTCTTTCAATACTTCGTCTATAGTTAGACATGTGGTAGTTTTATATTGCATGAAAATCATATCCATGTTGGATTTGTTTGAAAATATGATGGGGAACCTAGGGTTGGTTGTTTGAGAATGATTTGTTATCATTGATTGTTATTTGGGCTATTTTTGAGGTAATCTAGCATGATATTGTTGAAAGAAAAGAAAGCCCTATATTATATTTTGATTTGGTAAATTAAAGAGGGAGGTTGATTGAACAATATTTATAAATCACTATTGTTAATATGGGTTGTGTAAAAGTATTAATGACTCAGGGATTAACTATGGCATTGGGGTTATTTTGAAATGAACGTATTGAACTAGGATGGGTTATGGCCTTATTATCCATGAAATTGGTTTTATGAAATGAAAAGAATGGAAGTGGTTTTGTGAAATGAGAGAAGTGTTTTGGGAATAAGTGGTGGAACATGTCTACTTGGGAAATTATGAGGGTTGATCTTGAAAATGGGAAATGAAATGTTAACTCTATGTGAGTCTCGGATAATAAATATGAGAATTGAACTATTATATCATGAGTGTTGAGTACACACATTTGGGGGATTTAATCTTTAACTACGTACTAGTGGCATTGTTGGGTTTAAGAGCTCATAAGAGTTGAGTCTTTATAATAGGTGTATTAAAATCATGCATCTAGAGGTTTTGTCCTTGGTCATCAGTGGAGGATGACGTGGTTGTGTTGAATTGTCATGTATGCATTACACTTGTGTTGGTTGAACATTATTGAATAGTTTATGTGTATGTATTACACTTGTTGGTTATGCTCTGTTGTATTGTGATTATTGGTGTTATACACTGCGCTTAAAATCAGAGGTACTGTTACCTTCCAGCTAGCGCCTAGAGAACTGACTGCGCTGAGAATCTGAGGTACCACACCCTCCAGCTAGCGCCTGGTAAAATGGCATATTGTTGTGAGAGTTATATCCTTGGCTTACTGCGCATATAGCCGGTAGAGCAGAGTTTTATTGTTAGTCTCAGTGCATCTGAGTATGTTATGGGTTGTGATGGTTACAGTTTTGAAAGGCCGAGTTGCCTCATTTGGTGATTATATACATGTTGATGATTTGTTATCTCCCTTTTTATCAAAGGCATGCATGTATAGATATAAATGTATTGGGAACAAACCAAAATGCCATTTCAAGATTTTGGAAAGTGTGAAGGAAAATGGGATATTTGTGAACATGTTTTGAAAAAAAGGCAAATCAGTTGTAAGTACGGAAAATTGGAGAAAAGTAAAGGGTTTGGTGAAATTGTTTTCTAGAACTGTTGCTGTCATGAAAGTTTGTGGAAAGAGGGGTAATGAAAAGGAAAGAAAGGTGAACTGCTCATAGCGTTGAATGAAATGGTTGTTTTCGAGAAAAGTTCACACTTATGTATATTTTGTATAAACTGCCACATTACTATTCTAATACGAGATTGAGCATTCATGATAATAGCTATCTGTAAGTTGTTATTGTTGAGGACCATGTTGAGATCCCTACTGGACTATATGTTCATCCCACGTTGTTGAATCTGTTTCAGGCAATAAGCAGGATGTGCCACAAGATTTTGGATCTTCTTATTTGTTGGCCACGGGGCCTATCTCTTGTGTTGGCAGAATGCCATTTATGTAAAAGGGTTATACCCTTCTTCTTGACTCTTTAATGATGTAAGCCCAAAGGCAATTTATTTAGTATACTCATGCTGTATTTAATTTGCATACGAATGAGAGAATTGTTGTTCATTTCTACTAGTCGAACATTTGAGTTTATTTCGCATGTGATCTCTGAACTTGAATTAAAGTAATGAATTTGGTAATGATTTCGAGTAATAAAAAGTGGGGCGTGACAGACAAAGCATCAACATCTGGATGAGTATTATTAAATACACAACCATTTCTATATAACCACAAAGATCAAACAACAAAAATAAAAACAACTCGCCAAACCTTTTTTTCCTTTTTCCTAAGCCTCCACCCCAACCACCAGTACATCAAACCTTCAAAAGAACCTAGTGACACCCATTGAATTCCCCACCAGGCCATGATGTTAGACCAAACACACCACACAAAAGAACATGACACAAGAAGATGATTAGAAGTCTCCTCCTCAGCTTTACACAACACACAAAATAAATTCTGAATACCTCTCAAGGCTCAAACTCTACTGAGGAAAGCAGTTGTTTTCAATCTACCCCGTCAAGCAAGCCAAGAAATGAAACTAGCTCTGTATAACACAAGGCAGGCCCAGCACTGTTTTGGCACCAATTATACACATAACCAATTTTAAAGATTCTAGATTGCCCAGCCTTCCACCAAATTGAATCCTTTTGATTAACGTCAAGGATAGGTCCTACACCAATAGATTTTGCAGCCTAATCATGTCCTCTTCTTCCCAACCAAGGAGGGGCCTTCTAAAATTGAAACACCAATAATTATTACTATCTCTGCGAGACAACTGCACCTTTAGATTAATCTCCTTGTCTAGATTCAGCTGATACAACCTTGGAAATTGAGATTTGAGACTTGATGTTCCCATCTAAATATCAACCCAAAAGTTCACCCTATTCCCATCACCAATCCTAATCACCACATTTTCCCGAAAGAAGTTGTACAACGAAGGGTTTAAATACGACACATCAAGAACCTCTCTCCCAATAGAATAAACTGAAGCCAAATCATGCACTGGAGGGAACCAATGACCCCCCGATTCCCCATATTTAGCACAAATTACAGATTTCCACAGAGCCTCATCTTCAAAGGCATATCTCCACCACCACTTGAGAAGCAAGCATGTATTCATTAATCTGATATCTCTAATTCCAAGGCCTCCTTGCTTCTTATTCAGCTGCACCTCTTTCCATTTTACCAAATGGATTTTCCTTTTAGATTCATCCCCACCCCACAAGAACCTAGCTTGAATCTTATCAAGTTGTTTAGCAACACACTCCAGAATCTTGAACAAAGACATATAATAAACAAGTAGGGAAGACAACACAGATTTGATGAGTGTGACCTTACCAGCATAGGATAGCAACCTTCTTTTCCACCCAGATAATTTCTTCTTAAACTGATCCACCACTGGTTGCCATGTGTTGTTTCCTACCTGGGTTGGCACCAAGTGGCATCCCAAGATACTTTAGAGGTAATTTGTGGCTCGAACAATTAAGAGAGGCTGCAAACTTCTCCACCAACCCATCATCAACACCGACCCTGCAAATCATACTTTTATAAAAGTTTATCTTCAATCCTGAGGCCACTTCAAAGTATCGTAAAATTCGTTTGATTGCCATGATTTCTGCCCACTCAGCTTCACGGAATATAATAGTGTCATCAGTGAACTGAAGATGGGACACATTAACCTCTCTACTACCCACAACCACACCTTTTATTAACCTCAGCTCCTTGGCCCTAGATAGCAAAATATTCAGACCTTCAGCAACAACATTGAACAAGAACGGGGAAAGAGGATCAGCCTGTCTTAACCCTTTTTGTGAACAAAATTCAACAGAAGGGGAGCCATTCACTAAAATGGAAATTCTCGCAGATTCCATACATTCCTTCATCCATCAAATCCATCTTAAACCAAAGCCAAAACTAGATAGCATTTTCAATAAGTAATTCCAATTAACAGTATCATATGCTTTTTGAAAGTCCAATTTGAGAATAATACCCTTCTTCTTTGATTTTTTCCACCAATCCACCACCTCATTAGTTATAAGGACACCATCCATAACGTTTCTACCCCCTACAAAGCGGACTGAGCCTTATCAATGACACTAGGCAGGACTAGGCTGATTCTATTAACCAAAACTTTGGACAGCACCTTATATGGAGAATTTATCAAGCTAATAGGTCTATACTCAATAAGAGAGCTAGGATTCTCCTTTTGGGGGATAAGAGAAACGAAAGAGAAGTTAACTCCATAGCCCAATTTACTATTGCAATAAAACTCCTCCATGAATTTCATAATGTCGCCTTTCAAGAATTTCCACCATTTTTGAAAAAACATCATGTTGAACCCATCTGGGCCTGGGGCTTTGTTTCCATCACAATTTTTTATAGCAGCCCAAACTTCTTCCTTTGTGAATTCTCTCTCCAGGATAGCATCTGCTTGGTTAGCATCTATCTTCTTAAAATCTCCTCCAATACTTGGCCTTACGAGAATAAATTCTGGAAATGAGAATACGTTGCTTGTTTGACCTCACTTGGCTCATCCACCTCTAACCCATTAACCATGAGAGATGCAATCGAGTTCCTATTCTATTTTTTTGCTGGCCATAAGATGAAAAATTCTCATATTTCTATCCCCTTTCAAAGCCCATTCCATTCTGGATTTTTGCACCCACAGCGACTCTTTTCTTTTTCTAAGCTTCCAAATCAGACCTAGAACCTCTTTTCTTCTACCCTCTTCCTCCTCAGTCAATCCCCTCAACTCAGATTGTAAATCCAAAGAATGTAGAGCACCCTCAGCTTCTGTCAATTTTGATGCGACATCACCAAATACTTCCACATTCTATTTTTTCAAAACTACTTTTAAAGCTCTTAGCTTCTACATAATAACATGACTAGCCCACCCAAGAACAATTGTTGATTCCCAAGCTATTTTAGCTACAGTAAGAAAATTAGGGTGTAAAACCCAAGCATTGATGAACTTGAAAGGTTTTGGGCCCCAATTCCTGGCATCAACCATCGGCAAAATGGGCAATGATTAGGAAAAAAGTCTAGGTAATCCCCAAACCTTGTGTCTGAACCATTCTAGCCACTCAGGGTTAACCAAAAAAGATCAATTCTACTCCAGCTTTGTGAATTACCCCAAGTGTAAAGCCTACCTAACATTGGGATATCCACCAATTCCAAACTATTAATAAAATTTCCAAACTCAACCATACCTCTGTTCCTCCTTAGACAACCTTTTCTTTCACTAATAATTTTGACTTCGTTAAAATCACACCCTAGGCACCAAGGATTAGGGAACAAAGACTTCAAGTTAGAGAGAATACCCCATAACCTCCTCCTAGAGGAGTCTTCACTCGGAGCATATACATTACCAATATCACAGTTAATAGAAGAATGCATAATACCTGCCAAAAGGATGAAATTTCTGGAACCGCAACATTCCTTTAATGAGAAAATCGAAAGGTTCCAGACACAAAGAAGACCTCCCGCACTTCCAGCTGCGTCTACGTTCATATATTCCACCGAATCAAATGGCCACAAAGACCTAACAAAATTTCCATCTAGACATATAGTTACTGATATTCGATTATTTTGATTTGTTGCATGAAAATTTTACTCAACGAGTCCTAAAAATTGAATGATTTAGATCATCGAAATCAGTCTTAAAATCGACTTAGCAAACCCAAATACTCCCTTAAGTTGAGATAGCCAATATGAGAAAAATTTAACCTTTTTTTTTTATTTATTAACAAGAGAAACTTTGTTGATTAAATAAGAGTGTACATAAATAACTGATACAAATATCAATAAAGAGAGGCGAGTGTACAAACACCAACAAATATAAAATGATTGATGCAAAAATCAACAAACACCAATGACTTTATTTCGTCTTTGGAGGGGAGTGAAAAGTAGGAGGCTCATTTAGCTTCTACATTTCTTGATTTTTGCAGATGATTTTAGTCCTTTGAGTTGTGTTGTGATTCGTTTGGTGGATTTATTTGGCATCAAAGAGTCGAATTTGCTTTAGCTTCTTCTATGTTAGCCCTTTGACTCTTGCTTTTCTCTTGTCTTTTGCTGTTTGTACTTTAATTTTGTTGTTGGTTGCTCACCAACAAATAGGTTGTTTTCTTTTGTGTTTGCACATGATTTTGCTACAAGCTTATGTGTCAAACTAATTGAGATATGTTCTCCAAAACCTCGATTTTTTTGTATTGTTGTAATACTTTTGTGCTTTTGCAAATTACACTAATAAAATGTTCATTTGTCGATAAAGAAAGAGGTTTATTAATACCATAATTTGGATCTTAGGTTCACTAATGATAGATAATTTTGTTGTTTCCCTCTTCAAACTATGGATGGAAATAGATCAAATTTTTCTGATTTTGCGTGTAAATTTTTTTAAACTCAATTATTTTAGTAACACAATTTCATATTTTACTATAATCTTGACAATTTTAACCTATCTACCACTAAACTTTACCCTACCCAATCAATGCTATCTTAAACCATTTATATTAAAGTCAAGTTAGAACAAATAAAATTGAGTTGGGAAATTTTTCCATCCATACATAAAACTTTAAAATTAAAAAAAATAAAAAAAATCATTTTTAATTCTTTACGCTTAGACAACAGGAGAAAAATTTACTTATATCGGATTTTATTTTCCCCTTACTCTTTCTTTTTTCTAAGTGTAAAGAATTAAAAATGATTTTATTTATTTATTTATTTATTTATTATTATTATTTTCATATTGCAAATCCCACTCCAAATAGAAATACCATGGTTATATAAGGAGATTACCCTCTATCTACTCATGTAGTAATAATTTGATGATTTTGGAGTAATATTTCACACCATTTATGTTTTGATTTGACACTTGGCTAGTTATTTCTAAGAAAATAATATAAAAGTGATAAATTCATCTATTTAAATCAATAAAAATCAAATTAGAACACTCATGTGTGAATCTACACTCATTTATGAACACATATCTTCACCAAACAAATGAAACAAACCAATAGGCAAAGAACAAATTAAACCTGAAATAATTAGGAAAAGTTTACAATTATCAATTCAACTGAATATGGAAACCTAAATGTGGTATTTGGAAACTAAATTATTGATGCCTATAGAACACAGAAATAAGAGAATTTTTAAAAGATTCGTGACATGGATTTCTTTTGCTTGGCTCAATTGAAAACCCTACAATTCTTTCTAATTTCCCCGGCATTTCCAACAAGAACTTCAATTCTCCCCATCTTCACTATCGCCTTTGTGAAACCTTGTTGGAATCCAATCGCATTGCTTGCAAAACCTGTCACAATAGGAGCACTAGTTTTATCCAAGGCAAGTTCTTGATCAATCTGCATTACACCTCTCTTCAACTTAATTTGATGGTAGTACTCGTTATCAAATATGAAAGATGTGTTTTGATCCAAAAATGCAGTTGGGTCCTGACTCAACGGCCTCGATTGTGTACCACAGAGTTGGAATAACTTAGAAACTAGGGTTGGGTCCATTGTTGGGTCAGGTTTCCCAGATCCTTGGAAGTTTGAAAGCCGATCTTGAAAAAAACCACAGTGAGCAACACCAACAGTGTGTGCACCCAAAAGGGTGACCATGTCATTGAGAGTTAGTTTTTTGGCTGTGAAGAATTTGAGTGCCTGTGAGACAGAAAGGGATGGGCCTGGCAAGTTCACGAGATTTGGGTTGGAGACCAAACCATCTCGTCTGCCAGTTGGGACAGCGTAGTTGGGCCCACCGGCTAGGGCCACCGAGTCTCGGGTTGCCAGAGTTATGATGTCAGCACAAGAGACTATTCCGGGACATGCGGCCTCAAGGTTTGACTTGGCCTTGTCGATGAGGTCGAATCCTCGGACAGACTGGTTCGGAAAGGCATCTTTTTCCGATTGCGTAGTCTGCGTTGAGTCAATGAGTATGGATGCATCACAACCCTATAAACAATTTTCACCAAACAAAAGAATTAGAGCTTTGTAATCATGCATAAATGTGTAATTCTTTTAACATGAAACAAAACAGAACTTGGTGGTAAAATTATTTTACTTGTATTTGACCAAACTTGATTCTAATAAAAAATGTTTTGGAGATGGGGTAGGGTCGAGTACAAGAGTAGGTAGGTCAAAATTGGTGTAAAGTTTGAAATTATATGACTAAGATAATTGAGTTTAAAGTTAAGAACTCACGCACAAAATCTGAAAATCCCGACCCATTGCCATCATAGACTTAAAGTTTGATATTGTTGAAAATACAAGTCGTCTTGATATTTCGTTTTTTTGATGTTTTCTTATTTTTGAAAATTTTTTAAGGTAATAAAATCATGAAAAATGACATGCTTATGAAAAATATATACATAATTTATGACAAGTATAATGTGATAATAACGTTGGTAAAACATCACAACCACAAAAAGCCAAATCATTCTCTATAAAATTGTTGTTCATAACTGATATAGCTGTTCACCGCCAACACCATTGATTGAGATGTTAGAATATTTTTTTCCCACAGCTGATAACTTTAGAAAATTTACAACTCCATTACTAGATTCTTGATATGCATCACTTGATACTCTTATTAATTATATTTTGACTGATATAAAATCATCTCTCGATAATGCCATTTAAAGCTTTGCATGAAGTATTATAAAAAATTTTACCTTAACAAAGCAGTCATGGAAGTGCATGCGAAGCAAGGCCGGCGTTATGGAGCGGTCAGTGCTGAACCGCTGCATCACTGCTTGTCGAACAATCTGTTCAGCACGCGGGCAGGTAGAGCTGTAGAAGCCAACTCGAAGTTTGGCTGTGACAATGGGAACAAGAAGGCAAAGAAATATAAATGAGATCTTCATAGTATTTTTTCAGAAAATGATCCAATCTATGCTTTGAATGATATGAACTTGAGGATATATGCAGGGGGAGAGACGTTTGTTTGAATGATATGAACAAGAAGGCTCAGAGTGATATATATAGAGGGAGGGAGGGAGAGAGAGAGAGAGAGAGTGAGAGAAATCAAGAGGTATGTGGAGATAAGCAGCTGGCAAGTTGGCAACGGGCGTGGTCAAAGCCAACCAATGAGAAGATGGATTTTGAGCAATATCTTGGATGCTTCTTCTTTCTTACTTTCTAATCATATGTATGAGTTAAAATATTGAAAGAAATAGTAATCCCATGCCCAATTTTTTATTTTTGTCAACTCTAACATTCTTATCCATTTTAATACATTTTCATGGGAAAAGTATCAGAGACTTATTCTAGGCATATATTTGAACGTTCAACATAATTAATTTAATTTACTTTTCCAAACGTAATTGAGAGATTAATGTCCAATTTAAAATGATTGATTCTTTTTTAAATGAACTAATTTACACTTCATATTTATTTAATTTCTTAATTGATGTTATGAATTAAATTAACAAAGCATGAAAAATTAATAAACAAAAAATGATAAAATTGAAACTTCATGACTAATTTGATACAAGTCGCAAACTACAAATATAATTTATAATTTGTTGATTTTTATATCAAATTCTGTTATTGTCTGAAGTGCTGTGGCATTTTTTTTAATGTCATTTACATATCAATAAGACTATGGAGCCTCCCTAATTTACCCGGAAATTACAAACTGGACAAATGGCAACCCACCTCAAAGTAGAGGCTTTTAAGGAAAAAGTAGAGTTCCAATTAATTAGGTTATCAATTTGTTGTTACTATATAGAGACAAATAGAGAAAATAGATATCTATTTCTTTTCTTTTCTTTTTTTTTCTCCCCCCTCAAAATATGTCTTAGGATTGTAGCACCATGATACACACAACTAAAAAATAAAATAAAATAAATACATGATCCAAATATATATATATATATATATAATTTTGTGCGGTTGAGTTTTTAGAATTTGTGTCCTAATTTCTTTTTTCAAAGGATAAAAAATAGTTTGACAAAAAATAAATATTAAAAAACACATTTTAAAAATTATTGTTTACCAAAAAAGGAAAAATCATATAAAAAGAATTAGTTTTTTTTACTTTTTTTTCCAAACTAATTTCTAAATATTTTTTAAAAAAATAAAAAATAAAAATAAAAACTCAAGCAAACGAATTGAATGAGAAACATTGATATAGGTTCATTGATTTTTTAATCAAAAGAAAAGAAAAAACAAATGTTGATATTTAAAGATGAATTTATTCTTTTTGTAAATTGTTTATATAAGGCTTAACTTAATTAATTGGTAATCAAATATTTATGTGAGACTCCTTTTTTATTTATTTATTTAATGTATGTGAGTTTTATTTTGGGGTTTTTTTTTTAAGGTCCTTGATATTATGATTTTATAGCATAAAAGACATCAAATATTTTTATGATGTCTAAGGTCCATGAACAATATTTTCATAATGTCTAAGGCCCCTCAACCTTGATCCAGAGAAATTTCAGTCCAGAGAAAATTGGTCCAGAGAAATTTCAGTCCAAATTTCTCTGGAAAATCTAATTATTCTCAGAAAATTTTCAGATCTGCTGCTACTTTTAGCATGCAAAATGCCCATGATTTTGTTTGGTATTGATTAGTACTCTTTCTCTCTTGCAGTTTTTTCCCATTGTCTTAAGTTTATGTCTTAGAATTTCTCTGGACTTTCCAGAGAAATTTTAAAAATTTCTCTGATTTGAGAAAGGAAGGGAAAATTAGAATAGAATGGTTGAGAAGTTAGGTCCAAATTCACGAAGTCTTTGCATCTGAAATCTGAATAGATGAGGGTTTTTGTGCTATGAGGAGTTTGTTTTCTGCATTTCAATCTTCAGAATTCCAGGCAGGCGATTGGTTAATAAACAAATGGACAGAGAACTTGTTCTGTCTCCTCTCATCGACGCACTGATAGGCAAACTAAATTTGCTTTCCGATGATGCTGCTGCCGGCGGCGGCAACGATCTGGTCCCGATGCAGTGCGACCTCACAAAACTCCGGTTCACTATCAATCAAATCGTCGAGGTAGTGGTTGTTGCAGAACATAAACTTTTCTTCAAGGAAATCGCCAACAGTGAATGGCTGGAGGAAGTTGAGGAAGCAGCTTATGATGCGGCTGATCTATTGGATTTGATGATAGCAAACAATAATTTTTGCAAAACCTTGTTATCCAGAAGCTTAATTCTATCACCTGTGTCTAATTTGTTGGGTATGGGGGGTGAGGGACCTTAGACTACAAAAGAATATATTGTGGACCTAATCCATTACTAAAAGGTGGATAGGGACCTTAGACCGATTTTCCCTTTTATTAATAATCACTTATTTAGATTCATATTAATTTATTCTCTCTTTATATGAGTAAATTGTGTTGTGGTTTGGGGACTCGTTATGGTATTGAATTGAAAGGTGTCCAATTGTCCTTCTATAGCAAGGTTGGTAAATGTGGGAGTATATGAAGGTGTCTTATCGTTGAATGACTTGTGGGATATTGATATATGATGATGTACACGATGGATGTAATTTCTATGTCATGAGTTGTCAGTGATATCATAATCGGTTATTTAATTTTGTGGAATGGTAGATGGGTGGAAATGAGAGTGCAATCAACTATACGGAAATTGTTTTGTGAAATTAAATGGATTTGAGAAGATTATTTCTTTGAGATATGAGAAATGACTCATAAAAATAAGAAAAGAAATGAGTTTTATTGTGTTATTAAATATGAATCCCCTTTAAAAGATAAACCAAGTGTTGGCTTGGAAAGATGTAAGCCTGTAGGGCATTTTATTCGATGTTACATGTAATGCTTTATTTAGTAATACTCTGATGAATGAATTAGTAAATTGTCTTCTTTAATTAATGCATGTCAATGATATTTAATGGGTTAATTTTGAGGGCGTTACAGTTATTGTTTAGAACCACTGTGGATCTCTACTGGATCATTACGTTCATCCTAATCGTTGAATAATTTTTCAGGTACAGAGTTGGTTACAACGGTCAAGGATCAAGAGGTTGATTTTTATTGACGGTTAAAGTGTTGTAAAAATGACATTGTTTCTTCATTGTAATTATTTATTTTGTAACATTCTACGCAAGCCTAAGGGCACAGATTGTAATCTGTTGTAATCGTGTATTTCATCATTTGTATTATATGCGAGAATATTTCGTTTATTCATTGTAATCTCGCTTCTACACTTATGTTATATAATTGGACTTTAATGAAGAATTTGATAATGTATCCGAATAATAAAATTTGGGGGGCATTATAGTTACTATGTGTGTATATATATATATATATATATATGTTTCCTTTTAAATAAAAACAACCTTCATATTGAGGTGTGCTGCCATGTGGGCTGTTAGTAAATTTTTGGGTAAATTATGGAGGTTCCCTAGACTTATTGATGATATTAGCTTCCCGATGGCCCAATGACTAAAGAGAGAAGTAGTCCGTATGTCTTAAACCACTCCCATGATGTCTTTAATCTGCAAAATAAGACAAGAAGGATTCATCGATGGGTGTCTTCCTTTTCGATCCTCTGATGGAGAAGTTAAGACATCTTGCTTGAGGATATAGATGATATGATAATAGTGTGTTGAATGTGTCGTACATGGGTAGGGTTTCTTACTTGTTACCTCAACAGATTTGTGGCATCCCTCTTAGAGGGTGCATCATGGGGTATTTGATTTGGGAACTGTATTTTAACATCCCTACGGGGTCAGGTAGTAGGTGAGGGTCCAAAGTTCTAGTGTTGTCTGACCACCACTTTTGGTGCTAGTAAGGTTTAATGGGGAATTGACCTTACTATTGGGTTCGGTCACCTTGGTCCTCAAGTTAGATGATCGATCGAGCAGGTTTGTATTGTTGAGATTGGCCTTCTCTCTCCAAGGAGGGTGTGGTCCAGATTAGGGTCTTGGGTCTTTGTGTCAAGTTGGGCCCCGGTCATCAATATCGATAAAATAAATGAAAGATGAGCTAAAACATCAAATAAATAAAAGATAAGTAATTTGAATATAAAAATTTGATGATCATAGCATTCAGTTGAAGGAAATTCTTGTTAAAGATAAATATTTCATAGAAAATAATAGTATTTGTTAGGTCCCTTGATTGTCAAATCCGGGTACAAAACTTTGTGTTGAACAAGTTGTAATTTTCCTGTGTTTTTGTTTTTCCCGCCTGAGCGGGACCATTGGCGCTCGAGGGGATATTGGGGTCTCTCAGTATTTGTCAGGTCTGTAAAAATACTGGAAGGTGTGATTTCGCGCTCGAGCGGGTCATCAAGCGCTTGAGCGGAACTCTGTTTTGTCGCACGCAGATTTTGCTGAAGCCGCTCGAGCGGGATGTTGGCCGCTCGAGCGGAGATCGCGGACTCAGGTTGCCTATTTATACTTGTTTAGGCTGTTTTTTAGGACTACTTTTCCTAGATCTTATGCAAGAGTCCTAGGGTTTTGTTTGAAGTTTTCTTCTGAGGTTTTTTGTGAGTTTTTCTTTGATGTTTTGAGAAGAATTCTTCACTCATGATCTAAAGATAAATACATCAAGGAGTTAGTTACTTTAAATTCAAGAGAGAGTTCTCTTCGGTGGATTCCGAAGATTCAAGCGTAGAGTTTCAAAAGGCGTTTGATTCTGTACGTAGTCGTTAATTCGACAAGTGAAGTTGTGGATTCAACTTCAGGATTGATCAATTCTGAGATGAAGGCGTGGTGAAAGAGTTGCAGAAGATTTGAAGACAAATTGACTGAGTTGGGTAATTTGTGTATTATCTTTGTAATCTTTCTTTCTTCAGTAGTGGATTGATTAGTGGCGTTTCGCCCGTGGTTTTTGATTACAATTGAAGGTTCTTCAATTGTGATTTTTTCCACGTAAAAATCGTTTGTGTCGATTTATTGTTTATTCCGAAAAACAAACAATCTAAATCACTTTCGTAAGTGCTAGTTGATTTAGATTGTGTGTTTTGGATAATTGGGATTTGGAATATTATAATCTTGATCTAA